AAATTTGAGCAGAAATCTACGTTATCATACAGGGGGAAATTTTCTGTTAATAGCTGTCCTAGGCTTAATATGCGCTTCAAAACTAGTGTCCCTTTCAGAGGAGTGTAATTTAATTTCGACTGTTTTACTAAAAAAGACTTGCAGCACTTGAAGTAAACAGGGAGAAACTGGTTGCGAACAAACGGGTTATTTGCAAAAAATCGGACTTCTTATTGATTTTTAATAGCAAGACTTTCAAATCGGTGGTAGGGGGCGCTCACCGATCGTTTTTACGGAACTCAGTCGTTCCGTTGTGCCCTACAGGCTCTCTCTCGAGCCCAGCCAGCAGGCGCATAGCGGCGCATGATATAGGCAGAATGATATTAGTGGTTAGAGGCGTGGACTTCTAACTAACAGGTCGCGAGTTCGAGCCTCGGGTTTTCCACACGTCGCGGTTGGGTATGACTGGGTGCCGACGGCTAATAAGCCAGAACTGATCATTCCAGTCTCCCTTGTCTTTGTCGGTAATATCATTCTACTTTAAAATCTGCTTGATTTCTGACCCTAAAATACATTAATAACGCTTACAGGCAATCCTTTATTCAAACATACCGATATTGTTTAGCCATTCGCGGATACATTACGAGTGGCCATCAAAATGACCATAATCAAATGGCCTTTTTAAAATTTTGAACATATGGAGAAGTACTTCGGTGGAGGGGCGCTCACCGACCATTTTTTTACGGAAATCACTCGTCCCGTTGTGCCTTACTGGCTCTCTCTCGAACCCAACTAGCAGCCGCACGGCGGTGCATCATATAGAGAGCATGTTATTACCGACAAAGACGAGGGAGACTGGAATGGCCATTTCTGGCTTATTAGCCGTCGTCAGCCAGCCATACCCAATCCCGAAGTGTGGAACACCTGGGGCTCGATCCCGTGACCTGTTAGTTGGAAGTCCAATATTTCTGACTACTGAGCCACGGGCTCGCTGTCCTGTCGGTTGCGATCGGGAAAATAATTTTATGCGTCTAGTTTTGGCCTATACGTAATTTAAGAACGGAACGGGCACAACATTAACAGTTTGTACAACATGGCAGTATTTATATGGCCACTATTTTGTGCATTCATGATCGCAGAACGTTACCTAAATGTAAGCACAGATTGCGAAAATGGCTGCAATACTAAGAGAAAAGAAAGTCCTTCCGTCTTCGACAGAAAAATTGTCGGTATGTTTTTTAGTAAAATGAAAAACGGCCATAACTGCCAGCTTTTTTTGGCCTAAGCGTGTAAATAGGAAAAGCACGTAGAAGTCCGTCAACAAAATACTATTAAAGCATTTTAAGTGAGTAACCTGTTAGAAAAATTTTTCCAACTGAACATATGTCCAGTAACATCTCAATCATCGAACTTATTTTGCCTTAATCAGCCGCATCCCTAACGATATAAAAACGGGAAAAATACACCGATGTCGACCAATGAGACCATGAAACACATCGTCGGATATTACGCACTTGGCTTTCTGCCATACACCATATAACACTAGTTTTTGGAAGATGTCTAGGAAAAATGTATGTCGTAATAATTCCCTAAACATCACTGTGCCCATGACGTTTTATTTAGTCAGGTTTTTTCGTGGACAAGAATAAAATACCTGAGTCTACTCATGTGACATGAATTCTCGAGTTTTTGAAACTTCCGCTCTCTTAGGAAAAGTTCGATTTTTATTCAAAAATACAGCACTAGCAATACGTATCTTGCGCCTTGAAATACCTGGAGATCGCTAATAAGTAGTTTGAGGTTTTGGCGGATGCGCCCCGACCGATTTCAGATTGGTAGTTATTTTTCTTTAATCTATGCACATTTTATGAGTCAGGTAACCTACTGTACACCAAGCTGGGAAAACCGGAGATTTGAATAAGGATAGAGTTGATAACCGAGTTTAAGGATCGATCAGCTGAACCACCGACTCACAGTCTACTAATCACGATTTGTGTTATTTAATATCACGAGGGAGGGACTTCTTCCATTTGGGAGTAGTGAGATTTCAATAGTGTGTCACTGTGTCTCTACTTCATCTATAAATGGCGCATTTCAGTGTGTTCGCCGCCTTTACGTGTTACTGCCTCGGATAATGGGTTCGAGAGTAAATTCAAAACGTCAGGCGAGTGGATGGCCTAGTCCAGCCATCGAGTCGCAATCCTGTCAACTGCCTCCTTGAACTCGCATTTTCTCTTGTGCCCACCGGCACTACTGACACCAACACAAATTCACAGGGGCTGGCTACGTTCCACCAACCGACATCAGCCAGAATCTCGCAGACAAGCAGTATAATCTGCAGCTGGTGCTACCCGTGGTCCAACAGAGGGGGGGGGATGCGTACCACCGTCAGTTTCGTGCTAAAGAGGATGTCATACCAACTCAATGATCAACGATAAAGAGCGCGGGGGGCGCGCAGGCAGTTTTGGAGATCGCTGATGCGATCTCGTTGTCGACTTCAACACATCTGAGGATAGTGATTTCCGAAGTAAAGAAGTGGTCTACAGTGTTAAGACAGCAGACGGCGGTAATGAGCATCGCGTATTCCGCCGTAGATTCCGGCTGATGCATGACAACTGGTTTATCCATGCTCAGGACTGGTTCCACATTGACGCATTCAGAGAAGAGGAGATAGCTCTCACTGGATAACTGCTTCGTAGTGGCCCTCAGACGGCAACTGTCATAAGGAGATGAGGCCGTTAATGCTGTCTTAGGTGATGATTACGAAGGCATGCTTGTGTCAGGTGTTTAATAACTCCCCGTCGGTTCGACAGACAATTCTGATCCCTTTTTGGGATTTCAGAAAAGGAGACAGAAGAGGGTTGACGCGAGCAAACAGCCCTGTCACCGTGCTGGTTGACTCGTTATTTCTGACACGCGCCACTACGCCGTCGTGTAGATGCGTGTGACCAGCAACGTGTTTTGACGGCAAGACAACTATTTTGCATCTGCACCAGCTTCTCTTCCAGCTGCCTTTGGCGTCGAAAAAATCCGGTCTCGGTTCCGGTGGCGGCGCTGCTGTTCGTGCAGATTTTGCGGAGAGCAGTCGCTGGAGTCCCTTGGTCTCTGTCATTCATTCTCAACTACACAGCCACTTCAGTCCCAACTGGGGAAGTGGGTCATGCGAACGGCAGGTGAATACCGGCGGATGATGACGATGCTAAGATGGGAACAGGTTAGATCGACATCCGGCAGCCGTTATTGAGAATGCGCACCCATAACGAGCGTCAACATTCAAGGTGGAACGGCAGACCCAAGTACAGGTCCCCGCCGCCCTTTTGTGGACCGGGGGGTGTGGTGGCACGCCTAGGTGCGGGCCCGGCAGTGCCAGCCACCTGCGACCTTTCCCGCCCCCGGTCTTCTTGACTATGTCTTGACGCCTGGCACAGGTGGGGGAGGAGCAGAGTGTGGCGAAGGCTTCACAAGTCGACTACCACAATAGACTAATTCACTTGCCAGTCGCCGTCCCTACTCCCACCCTGCTGTGGAGCACACGGTGGACGTCGTTGTCATCGAAATCGACGGTCAAACTGCCGTCGGGTCTGTCTGCGTTGCCGTGATTTGGAATCGAGTTGCAATTGGCTGGGACCCGAGGCGGCATCTGGACGCCAGGGTTTGCCTGACACTAGCCAGACTGCCTCCAACCCTGCTAATGATCCAGCTACCTCCTCCCTGTAGGTGAGTCATCACAGTTAGCTCAGGAGTCAATATCAATCTGAATTCCGACAGAATCCGCTTGTGTACTTATACCTGCTCAACGAAGGATTCGCAAAAGATGCGCTCCCTCAGACTGTCTTCTATCCAAGTGACTGTCAGGTCTACCGTCTCGTATGCTGTCGTGACCGGTCACGCGTGTGAGAGCCAGGATGAGAAATCTGATACACCGACAGATGCGTTGGCGTTGAAAGAGCAGGAACTGGGAAACCTGTATGGACAAGCTGGAAGTCTTGCGCGTCACACAGGGCCAAAAAAAGCCTGCGTTCATCCCTTGGTGATAAAAAAATTAAGGAAAAAATTACTATTGCCACCCGATAGGCATTTTACAGCCCAGCCGGGCAGGAGACGCCCACAACGTAAACACCCCCTACACAAGAAGGCGAACTACCGGCGTCTGAACAGTCATAGCGAGCGAAATCCACCTCCAAAGTAGCCTGTCACAACAACAACAAAAACTACGGCTGCTGCTGCTACTACTACTACCACTACTACTACTACTACTACTACTACTACTACCACCACTACTACTACTACCACTACTACTACTACGACTACTACTACTGCTGCTACCACTACTACTACTACGACTACTGCTACTACTACTACTACTACTACTACTACTACTACTACTACCACTACTACTACTACTACTACTACTACTACTACTACTATTACTACTACTACTGCTACCGCCATATCCACTATAAGTCTGCGCAGAAACGAACCGAACACAGTGACTCACTGAGCTCAGTTGCAGCTGCGAAATCCGCGTCCACGGACGTTGTCCCCTACCATAATTACGGAGTGAAAACCCACATCGCTCTTGACAGAGATCAAGAGCGGCGCTCCGAAAGGAAATGTTCTGTCACAAGTCCCATCAGGTGGCCTAGACGGAGCTGACAGAGCGTTTAAGGCACGAGGCGCTTGGAGAAGATTGGCAGAGACAGAGAAAAGATGCCCTGAGAGCGGAGACGATGGACACAGGAGTGATCCCATCAATGCCGGGGAGGGGATCATTTCGAAAATTTAGGACAAGAGGTACTTCAGTAAATAAATTCATTTTATTACAAATAATAGCAGTCTCTACAGGTGGCGTAAGGTCACATAAGAGGGGGCGAGGACAGATACAAGGTATAGAAGAAAGCCGACAAGCTCCAGATGAGCAGTAAGATTTACAAAAACATGCAGCATCAAGTGATTTGAAGCTGTTATCGGCGTCCAGAGTAAAAAAATACCCGGATCCTGAGAAGCAACGGCCGAAATACTCATGTCTCCGAAGTAGGAGACCGAGGAGTGGGGGTGCTCGGCCAGGTGGGGAAGAAACCAGCCGGCACGTAAGGCTTATCGGACGGGTCACCGCGAGGTAGGATGGCCATGAACTTGAAACGCTTGCCCATCTTGTCTGAGCCCAAAAGCATCTCAGACGACGCGATTAGATTCTTCTTGTCCTCGTCTGACTGACACTTCTGCACGAGGACCTTAATTCGCAGAAAAAAAGAAGGGGAGTACTATACAGAACGCAGGGCAGGCTATGCGCTCACGGCGGACGTCGACAGTGGCTGCATCCATGTGTTGAAAAGTATCTACTGTCCGGCTTATAACAAGCGCCGTGTTTCCGCAGTGCGTTAGGATTGAAAAGATCACTAAGTTGAGGTTGTAGAACTAGACAATAGAGAATTTAATCTTAATTCAGTCCTGGCTCGCCAAAAAAGCTAGCTTTTGTGTGATCAATTGTTCAGTCACGAATGCGAATTTCGCTTGAAAAACAGTCACTGGTTACATTGCGCGACCCATCTCATGAAATGTTGGCCGAAATTCTGAAGTGCGTTTTCGATTAGGAAGGATTACTTAGATGGGGTTGTAATATTAATTATCATGCGGCATAATCCTATAGTATTTCGGACTCGCCAGGATGTCGGCTTTTGAATGCACTTCTTTTCGCCCTCCTGCAGAAACCGCACTCCGCAAAAATTTACTACTTATGTAGCATGCATTTCTCATATTTATTTTCGATGGTCATTTAAATTCAAATATACGTTATAGAAAACATGCACAAAATATGCTTTATTTTGCTTGTTTGGTAGGAAATAAGACTGCCTTCGCAATTTATACCCGAAGAAAGTGCATATTTAGGTTATGAAAAAGTTTCCCAATTTCCGAATAATTTTGAGCCTAACCAGCCGTTTAGCGAATTCAGTCTACGAAGTGTATGCTTTCCGCGTGAGGAAAATCATATATTCCTCTATACCTTTAAGGAGATATCACATAGAGTCCATAAAATCTTGCCATGGATGCGGACTATGTTGTACATTTCATGAGGAGCGCTGGCAAACGGACATGTGCGATGCTGTAGGAATGGACATCGTACGGTCTTAAAAATATCATAATTAGAAACTTCTGAAAACCGACAGATAACCTTTCTCAGGGCATAAAATGTGAAGACGATGTGATTTCCTACCAAACGAGCAAAAGAATGCATATTTTTGTGCATGTTTTCTATAAAATTTATTTGAATTTTTTAAGACCACCGAAAATCAATGGGGAAAATGCATGCTACTTAAGTAGTCAGTTTTACCGAGTGTGGTTTCTGAAAGGGGGGGACGACGACGACGAAAAGATGTGCATTCAGGAGCCGACATCCTGCAGAGTCCGAAATATTACAGGATTATGCCACAAGATAGTAAGTATTACAACTCCACCAAAGAAATTCTTCCCAATCGAAAACGTATTTCAGAAGTCCGGCCAACATTTCATGAAATCGGTCACTCACTGTAAATAGAGCGTATTTTTTAAGCAACACCGCACGCATGTATAAATCCGGTCAAACTGTATGGATACAGAGGAAATTAATGTCATCAGTTTACGGGGGACCACGCCTTCTTCGTTACAGATTCTTGGAGGAGCATATTCCGGAACCCGCGAATTAAAACGTCCTTAAGTTTGGAAATCTTTCGGTTTGCCTGTCATTACTACTGCTGCTGCTACTACTACTACTACTACTGCTACTGCTGCTGCTACTACTGCTGCTGCTGCTGCCGCCGCTGATGCTGTTGACGCTACTACTAGTAATTAAATTACTGCTGCCGCCGTTACTACTAATACTGCGGCAGCGATCTTTAATGGTAGAAATTGCGAGATCGAAGATAGCTCAGGCGGGACGGAGAGCTCTACCATGAGCACCTATCAACGTTCAAAATCTCGATAAAGTACGGAGACAAAGAGGGCTGACCAGATCGTGAGCATTTGAAAGAGAAAGGAATTTCACACTGAATGATCGGAGATGTGGCAATTAAGCACGGGCTCGAGAGGATCAGTGGAATGGCCATTAGCAGCAGGAAGAAGCCAGGGAAGTATCAAAAAAGCAATGACAGGAGAAATGCCAAAAACCTACCTTTAGGCGTGCCATGAAACCCATATGCACTAGGAAGTAAGCCTGAGTCACTGGGCCGTGTACAACGACTAGAGGGGGAGAGAGATGTATAGGAAAGGTTAGAGGCCTTTTGGGAGAAGTTGGGTGTATGATAGTACGACCAGTCCGCCTAACAGTCGGTGAACTGAGTACTTAGAACTTTGTTCAAACTGAAGCAGCAATTACGAGATGATTTACGACGGCATAGTCACCCAAACACGTACTCAGGCTACGACTTATAATAGACAACAAGCAAATAGGTAATATGAAAAACTGACCCGGTTTATTGACTGCCTCGACGGAGCGCCGAAGGAATGCAAAATCCACGTCTGCAGTGATGTCAGCCTCGCCTGGATCCTTGAGAGGGTCATGTAGCTCATGATTTTTAAATGCCTATAGAAAAATAGACGCAATATTTCCTGATTAAAGTACACAAAGCAAAAACGACTTCACAACAACCTCAGAATTATACGACAAACGGACCAACGTAATCGACAGGTGTTGCAAAATAGGGAATAGTTTGAGATAAACTCAAGTCGCGGGATAAATTAACTAGGAGCCTGAAAATCAGAATCCCTGAATGGACAAATTACCCGAAGCGTATCACCTAACTCTCCGGCATGGCCGTAATCAACGATCAGAGCGGCGCCGCCATCGTCACTGACGCGTTGGGCAATCTTCTGGAGGATTGCACCCGCCTCGGGACAGACTTCAACGCAGTTTCGATTTTCCAAGTCGCCAGCAAGCTACAAAAGATGAGAATACTGCAAACATGGACAGTCATAGTAAAAATCTACATGGCCAACTGGCATGGTAGACAGCGTTCAGCCTCTTTATGAAGGGTTGCACAGACTACATAACATCGCCCTCGCTATGAGGAAAGATGAGGGCAAGTTCGCTAGCACCAAAGTGGCATTCTTGGATGTTGTGTGGTAGAATCTCTTGCTCCTAAAACGGGCCACGCGGTAGAGGTGCTGGACTAACGTAGGAGCTAGATGAGGATCCGACAGGCGTTGTTGTGAATGCTGCCCACACAACGAATGCCAACATCAAGGGTTTGCGGGAGGTCCCGTTGTAAGCTCATGTGGCGCCATTTGGGATCCGAGCCGCCCCCAATTTTGTTGCATAAAATCCTGGTCAGTGTACGTTGTGGACCTGAGGGTGTGGGGATACGCCCAGGTGCGGATTTTTGCCGTGCCAGCCACCTGCGCTCCCCCCGCCTTCAGTCTCCTTGACTTGATCATGACGCCAGCTCCAGATGGGAGAGGGGGAGAGAGCATGCGATAGATGCTTCGTAAGCATACCATCATTTTAAACTAATTTTGTTTCATTCTGTCAAGTCGCTTCACATTCCTCAGCATATAAGAAAAACTGCAATGTCGGATTTTTCCTCTGCGTTAGTGCACAAAAGCTCTCGTTGATTACATTATCGAGTGGCCCGTTTAAGCCCTCACCTTCAGGTGTTAAAAAAAGAACTTTCGCTCGAGAACAGACAAATAAATGGGGACATGAACGCACTACAAGGAGCCAAAACGTCGGAAAAACAGCTCAGTCCACCTGAACGCTCAGGAGCATTTTCAAGGAAGATCATAGTACAGAGCTATTCCAAAGGCCATATGGCCAAAACAAACTTTCCGGCCTGAAAGACAAACAAAAATAATTTGCGAAGGCAACTAAGAAAACTGGCGATGTGTTTTTACCTTCCGGCGAAGACTTTGCTTTTGCTATACACAGGGAAGACATACAGAAAATAACATATTTGGGCCACGCAGAAGATGCGCTGGGCCGATATAATGAGCTAGATCGGAGTCCGACAGACGTTTCCGGAAACGCGCACCAACAGTTGAGGTGCGGCGTCAGACAGAATTACCGTCTTACGTAGCGCCAACTGGGATCTGTGCCCCCTCCCCCCCCTATGTGTTGTAACATAAAATCCTGGTCAGTGTACGTTGTGGACCAGAGCGTGTGGTGGAACGTCTAGGTGCGGATTTTTGTCGTGCCAGCTACCTGCGCGCTCCCCCGCCTCCAGTCTCCTTGACTTGATCATGACGCCAGATCCAGATGGGAGATGGGGAGAAGGTGCGATAGATGCTTCGCAAGCACGCGCAAGTCACTGTCCCCATCCTGCTGTAGAGCATACGGTGGACAACATCGAAATCGACGGCCGAACTGTTGTGTGGTACAATCCCAACAAACACGAAGATAAACCAGGGTCACAGTGGGGTGGCTTTTACAGATATAGCCTGCTCGTAGATCAGAATACGGGCATTTCGGGTTCAAATCACGATTTACTCGGGACTGCGGTTGAGCTAGGCTCGGCCGAACAATCGGTCAGTCCAGTCACCTGGTCCTGGTCTGTAGGAATTTTTGAACAATGAATAATCAACAGGCTAGAAAGGGCCAAACTTGACAGATCAAAAAGAGCCAGCATCCAGGCACGTGAGAGAATAACTTCCATGCAAGAACACAGCAGAACAATAGAGTTAACACTTAGAGTTCGTACTTGAAGATAGGCGCTCATGGTGAGAGTTGGAGTCCGTGACGCACGAAAGATGAGTTGGTCAGCGACGCCATCGTCAGATGACTCAGAAGCGGAATCCATCACGTCCACAAATACTTCGTGCCACTTGCCATCCACTTTCTAACCAAAAGATGCAGAAGACGGGGTAACAAACCTGGAAACGGTGGATCGGAAGGGCATCAAAGAATTCATGTGCTAGATAGTAGGAACACCGCCCTTGAGGGATCTCATCTAGAGAGGAATGCCAATGGATTGAGGGATTCGGTTTGAGCCCTTCCAGCAGCGCACTGAGGGTAGACTGTTGAACTGCACGCAGGCGATCACTTCTTTCAATTAAGTGCAAGTTTTGAAGTCCTGACGCGACTTTTGGAAATTTGTTGATTGCCTAAAGAAAAGATGGAAGCTGAGTAGTGGGCACAGCCGCTGCTAGTGAACGTAATGTAGACTAGGTTTCAGCTGGCAAACCTAAAAAATAACGCAAAAGTCCAAACAATGAGGCTGCATATATGAATTGTTTTGGTTTCAGGCCTCCATGACCCTTCGGCGCACCAGCTATGTGGGTCATCTGTGTCATCTGATTATGGGTTTTGGCCGGGGACACAGTTGGCTGAAGAGTGCACGAACAGGCTCGAAACGGCAGCTCTTTCGGTCTATCTGCGCTTTTGTAATTTACCGCCTATTATCCGTTCAGTCGCTTCATGGTCTGGCAGGTGTCGGCCTAATCATGACCATGGACATCATATTCGAAATAAGTAAGAAACAGGAATTTTTGTAAAAGTGCTGGATGCTTGGGATACAGCCTTACGAAAAGACTGGAAGCACTGTCATGTGGTGTGGGTGGATAGGTGAACGTCATCCCCCTCGCAGCTGCCAGGACGGCAGGGCTTACTAGAGCAAAGGCCATATTTCCATTCGGTGTTGGAAGAAGCATGTTAAGTTGGCTGTAAACACTTTCAAGGTTAAAAGACTCATAAATTCGAGCTGAAATTTTCCGACAATCGGGTCAAATGATACGGAAATGGGGTCCATTATATAGAAAGCAAATCCTAAAGGCCAGTTTGACGCCGAATTAATAATCCTGGTAAGCAGTTAGTCTAGCCCGGGAGTTCCGTGGACTAATTCGCTGTTCCATAAGCTGGAAAAGTTTTTAGAAAATGAAGAATTAATTGAAAAGATCAGGAATAAGAAATGGAGAACAACAAGCACAGTACAATGGCCCCAACAACTGAGCTTAGATGTGTGACCGGATGGTGTTGTAACCTGTGCTAAGGTGTTCATGCATCCTCCCACATAGTCAGATGGCTTAATAGAGTTCGATCAAAAGCGAACTCATTTTGGCATTACCTTAAGCCAAGCAGTTAGCTGGTCGGTCAAGTCCGGCTTCAGGGTTTTCGGTGGTGAGTAGACATCAGGAATACGTAACACAAAATGACGACGAGGAGGCTTTAAAAATTATTTACTGTTCTAATGGTATGTAAAAAACTACAACATTGAGCAGAGACATACTTTGGCATCACTGAAGCAATCGTACCAGATTAGTCATACCACTATTCTTCAGCATTTGTTGTATAAAACTACTTTTTGCTTATCATAATTGAACTTGAAGTGAGAGAAGTGCGCTGTAAAATATTTAAACACCGTCACGGAGACTACCCGGGAAAAAGAGAAGTGATGGTGACAACTGATTTCTTAGGAGTCGCCCTACTTCAGTATCCGGTCAGTGAGATACTATGAATAGGTTTTTGGGAAAGCATATATTACAAGGTAACACAAATCGGGTAAAAGTCAACCCATCCGGACTAAACGAGCAAGTTGATAATAGCCGTTAACAAATACGGATGCCACTCACTGGGTGGACGTAGTGTCTTTAGAGCTATAGCGCACTTCCAGTAAGTGAAGGGGTTTGTGAAGGACGGTAGTGTTAAGGTAATAAGAAAGAACTGTGGCTTCAAACCGGAAGAACGGACCCCCTTCAAGGCAAGGCCGTAAATAATACTTCTGCAAAAAATGGACACAAAGAATGTCTGCCGGCCGTAGTCAAACGATATTACTAAGTGAAAAAATGAATAATCCAACGAGGCTAGGAAACAACATGAAGGGAAGAACGAATGCGTTAGAATCTAGAAAAATGAATGTTTGAGAGATGCTCCCGCGACAATTCACCGCGTAGACCGAATCTTATTTGACTTTCACGTTAGAAAAAGAGTGACGTAGTCTCGTTGCAAAAGGATAAAATGGCATGCAAGGGGACTTTGATTTTGGGGTATGAAGGACTGAATACTGGTGCGATAGTACGAAAACTCGCATAGAGAAAGCTAAGTGGGTAAACAACGCAGGATTGTGGCCAACGGAAGTAGAAAAAATACTTCAAAGCAATACAAATTGGGCGTGGAGGATGTATGCCATGGAAAACGGTTATGAGGCTAAGACATTTACATCGAAAAACACGAAGATGAGCGTACCCTAAGAATATTGGACAAGAGGGTCCCACGTCCAGGGCCGAATTCCACGATGTCAAACGGAGTCTGCGTTCCAAACCGCATTCGTTCATTAACTATCCAAATGCCCAAGAGCTGCAATAATCGTGCGTAAAGGCTTACCTCGCCGAAAATTTGGGATATTTCGGGTGAGGTAATGAAATCACCATCAGGACCAACGACATCTGAATTCTTATAATAGCCCTGATTGTTGACAGAGTTAAGTTAAAATAAATTACGTAAATCGGGTGGTGAAGGGCCAACTTCATATAGTCTGCAACGCTTATTTGACCGGAAGAACGTATTTGTCGGCATATAAAAGACATTAAATGAGGCTTAGATTGTGCAGTCGAGCTTGTGCATCTTCTAAAAACCTTAAAACTTAAAAACGTGACCGGCGATAATAAACGCATTGTGGAGATTAAGGCTTTTCCACAGGATCGATACCCTAGATCGTTCAGTCCAGTTTATCGCAGGAAGTAGGCAGGAGATTTCGATACCCCCATTGACAGCGTGAAACGACGGGAAAATGTACGGAGAAACTTCACGTGCCCAAATAAGTCTCGTAAGATATGAAAAAACATAAGTACGAAGATATGGTTTAAATTCCTCAGCGCTCGGGCACATTTTGAAACATAAATCAGCCATGGTTCAAGGTGGAGATGAGATCGATGGAGCAGGAACTATACTCTTTTTATGTTTTAGATTCTTACTTGAGAAAATCACGAAAGACGGTTGTAAATAAAACTGATGGGCGTATTAGGGACGTAGTATTGGTAGGATGCAGTCACCACGCAACGACATACGTACCATGATCAGCAAATTCAGCATTGAATGCAGGCAGTCTCGGTGCGATGATCGTTCGTGCGTCCACAATTACGCCGCTAATCGCCAAAACCTCGCTGTTACTGTTAGCTGATGATGTGATAATGAGACGGAAATTTAACTAGTTTACACCGCTTATGGAGGCGGGTTTCGTTTACGTTCTCCCCGAGTGTCCAATTACTCTTTACTTGCAATGTTTCAGTACAGAATAGGGGGGCGGGAACTTATAGCGCCTGTCACTGACTTGCGAGTAGGAGAAACATGGATAAAGCAGTCTATGGGTCGTGCGGTTGTCACCCTTCGTGAGAATTTGGTCTCATCGGAATAAATTGTGTGGACGGGTCCGATCAAATCAGCCGCGACCTGGTAGCTGATGTCGTCCCTTATCACTTCTGCAATGGTCGACCATCCGAAACGTCCGTCGAATTAATTTTTCGTCTAATAGACCATCTTGCCAATTTTCAGCTGCTTCTCGGAATCCGATTTTTGATTTGTCGTTTCGTATTCTCCGGACAGTCCTGCTGAGGCACACGAAAATCCGTCTACATCAGCTAGACCGATAACTTCTGTTGTCCAACTGGGTGCTGCAAGCTCTATAGTTAAGTCATCCGCGGCTTGGCGTCAGAACGGTGAAACTCGAAAACTGAATCAGACTCCGACCCAAAAGATAGGTAGTACAGTTCCATTTAGGGGTACGACGCCTTCTCACAGATCTTACAAGTCTGTTCAGCCCAGCACGTCTACCAACCCCGCAGCTCCAATTGTATCCCCGAATAATTCTCTGTCCTGCGTACCGGTTACTTATCAAAACCCTACTATATATCCAGCAAATAATTCATACATGAATTGCCCTAAATCATTTATGTCCCAACCCAGTTCAGGCTTCCCACAACTTAAGGCCAATTGCTCTCAGGTACGTCAACCTATCTCCTGTGACTTCCAATCTAGGCCTTGTTTCCCACCCTTTCATTCTTATAGTGGCCTACCCTCACCCACTAGCCTCTACTTTCCTTCTAGGCTCCCTCCTCCTCCCCTTCCTCCACACTTTAACTACCAACAAGTCTATCCATGTTCTAACTCCCCTAGCATTCCAATGTTTGAAAATTATATCCCCACCTCCTTTAGATCTCATACTCAGCCTTTTCTTGTTGACTCCCCGTACGTCAATAACTCTAAATTAACTGGTACTTATTCTCCAAGTGTCATTAATTCACAGCTTACATATCCGCCTCCAAATTTTTTTAACTACCGTCGAAAATAGCATTGTCGTTCGAAACACATTAGATATTATATTATTGAATGCCAGGTCTGTTATAAACAAGATGGCCCAAATCAGAGCCATTGCTCTCGAAATAACGCCTGATATTATATGTGTAACAGAATCTTGGACTCATTCTCTAATTCTTGACTCTGCCCTTCTCATAGATGACTTCGATGTTTACCGCCAAGACCGCACGACTAGGCGTGGAGGTGGTTGTCTTCTTTACCTTAAATTCTACCCAAAGCAATCTCCCTATTACTTGGATGTTTCTTCATTCACGGGAAACTTCTGCTTTGCATCTGTTATTCTCTCGCCGCAAAGAAAGGCAATTATTGGCTGTATCTACAATCCCCCAAATTCTTTAGCCAGTGATGATTCACAACTCTGTGAAATCTTTGAATTAATTTCGGAAGCTGCTTTCGATGTTTAAATAATCACTGGGGATTTTAACCTTCCTGAAATAGACTGGGTTTCCAATAGCTGCCCACCCAGATTCCAGCCCTTTCAAGATATTGTCAATTTTTCTAATTGGTCTCAACTGGTGCGCTCTCCAACAAGAGATTATCACATTTTAGATCTAATCTTTACCAATGACATTGCACCTCTTTCTGTTGCTTTAAAAAAGGACCTATTTGACAGTGACCACGTATTAATTCATTGTTGCTTACCGGTTGCCTTTTTAAAAAAGACAAGCGCCGTTCAGACTTTCATGAACTACGACTGCGTAGATAGCGACGTAATAAATAACTATATGAGATCCTTGGATTGGTGTGGCTTCCTCACTTGTAGCGATGTAACCATTCTTCGTGATGCCATGTCCCATGTTTCCAAGGACATTCAAGAGTTTGAGCCGCGTATATATCTCAAGCCTAATTCTTCAGCTTCCCTTGTTCCTCATTTTCTTCAGAACAGACTAAAAAGTTTAGGCGACAGCCGCGTGACCCATCCACTAGTTCCTTATCAGTTCATCTTAGAATCGCAGAGATTTTTGAGATGGCCTCAAGGATGCGCCAAGCGCGCGACAGACAAGGGGAATCAATTGCTCTCAGTGGTTCGAACCCTGGCAAATCCGTCGCTAACATCTTCCTTCATCGGTCCTTCTATTAGCGTGGTCACGAACTTCCACCCCTGCTAAATGATAACAAAGTCCTTCTCACCGATGACACTGACAAGGCAGAGTTGTTTAGTGCTTTCTTTGCAAAACACCTTGCTACCGAGTCCGATCCGGTCCCTTTCTTTCGATCACTTTCAGATAGAACACTTTGTACAATTGATGTCTCCTCAGATCTCATTAAGAAACACATGAGCCGTTTGAAATACTCACACTGTTCAGGAACGTACGGGATTCCGAAATTGATTATTAAACAAGCGTCCGACCTTCCCATATTGCTCCGTCATTTATTCTCGGTTTATATTTCAAAAGGATTCTTTCCTGAAACATGGAAAACGTCAATTATCATTCCCGTCTTCAAGTCAGGATCTCGGTCCGATGTTAATAACTATCGGGGCGTGCACAAAATGCCGTCTCCTGCAAAGCATCTTAAAAGGATTATTTTCAATGAAATTCTTGACTCCTGTCTAGCTAATCGGCTTCTGAGCTCTAGTCAGCATGGATTTTTACCTGATCGATCCTACGAAACATGTCATTTGGCTTTTCTTAATCTTATCACGTCTCTTCGTAATGAGCGGCAGTCAGTTGGAGTTATTTACTTTGATCTTAGCAAAGCCTTTGACAAGGTGCCCCATAGACGTCTTTTAGTAAAATTGGAAGCTCTCGGCATCCGGCCGCCTCTACTCGACTTCATCAGATCCTATCTGTCCAACCGATATCAGAAAGTCATGAACGGTAATAGCTACTCGACACCTCCACTCGATCACGAGTAGCGTACTTCAAGGCACGGTCCTGGGTCCGCTACTCTTCCTTCTGTACATCAATGATATTTCGACTGAAGTCGGAAATTCGCAAACTTTTACTTATGCCGATGACCTCAAGTGTGTTTACTCATACTCTAAGGACACCGCAAATGTTTGTGTTGGAGAAATAAATGCCGATTTTCTACGCTTAATCAGATGGATTTCAACATGGCAGATGGAATTTTCATCATCCAAGCGTAGTTTTATGTCTTTTGGTCCTACCAAACTTCCTGGTCCCATAATTTTTCAGAATAACCCACTCTCAGAATGCCTCACCATAAAGGACCTAGGTCTAAGTTATACAAATAAGCTTGCTTTATCACCTCATGCAGATAGAATCTCTGCCAAAGCCGCGCAGATATGTGGATTCATATCGCATAATTTTTTCCTTCCGGAAATGAAGCTAAGACTTTATGAAATGTTTGTTCTTCCAGTCCTCGAATACTGCTGTCCTTTCTTCGGTTTAATGAACGCCTGCGACCGTAATAAAATCGAAAATGTTCAGAGGGTTTTCACCCGGAAACTGTTCTCTCAAGCTTCGTCCAGTATTTCTTATACTCAGAGATGTCAGCTGGCGAACATTAAGTTTTTGTGGGTTCGAAGACTCGAAGCTGGCCTTTGCTTCCTTTTTCGCATCAACTCTAGCTCCAGTCTTCCGCTCATTGACACTCTCACTCCGAGAGATCGACCTTATGCCACGCGCAACTCCAGCATTGTGATTCCGCTGCCTCTTTGTACTACATCTTAGCGCTCCCTCTTCTTTGCTTCCAAATATGCCTTCCTTTGGAATAATCTTCCGCCAGAAATTAGATTATCGCCTAAGTTACTGGTATTCAAGTCGAAATTGCGCAACCATCTTACACCGGAAAGCATAAAAGCGCTGCTAACGGTCTCATTCCCGAACACTCAGATTCTTGACTTCGAGAAGGGTCCTCCTGGGATTTAGTGGTAGATTAAGTGGTAACTCTTAATTATATCATTAGAAAGCCCTGTTTTGAATTGGTTTCTAAATCCACTGCTATCACTCCTCCCCCATAGCGACAATTTTCGCGGTTTTTGATGTCATCTCCCGCATTCCGACCTCATGCGGTCTGTCGAAGCTCAGGGCGGAACCCTCAGTATTCACTGTCTACTAGTAGTTCGGTCGTACCTCCCTTCCTCACTGCTCGGCTGAGCTCGAAGCTTGCTGTGGCCGATCGCATCTGGGTTCCTCTCGTCTGGCCTCTTTGACGCGGCGTATCAATCCGGCCCAGACGATCTCAATTATGA